ATTTTGGTTACAGATGAGTTTTTCTCATGTGAACGGAATTGAATGAGGAGAGGTGAAGAGTTTGGTGGAGCACTGTCATGCTTTCAGAGGGCTCCTGACAAGGTAAAATCTGACTCCTTCATGACACAGGTCAAATTTCTACCCTTGGGCTCCAATTTAGTTGTCTATTTGTTTTTCTCCCGAGATTCTTTCTCAATAGAGTAAATTTCTGTATGTTAGGTGCACTCTTTAGATCATATTTGAGGTATATACCTGAATTTGAATACTACTTTTAAAACTGAAAAAAATTCCCCAAAGTTTTGTTGTTTTTAAACCTAAAGAATATATCAGGAAATTAAAATGTTGCATCAGTGGAACAATGTAATAATTGGTGAAGGTTACTTTTTGGACGTGTTTTGATTTTATTAAAATTCTTTTATCACTTACTACAAGGTTACAATTAATTACAAGGCATATGTTTTTCTTTTTTTGTAAAAGAAAGACCTTAGTACATTACAAAGAATTGATTGTATCTTTATGTATAGTGATGGTATATTTTTTATTTTTAAAAGTTACTTTGATTGGCATAATTATATAAAATCTAATAAAATCACTTCTTATTTTCTGGCTACTGTTGTTTTTGATTTCAAAGTCAGTACATATTAATTGTCTTTCCTGTTGGATAAAATACCCAACACCTGGACTTAAAAGGAGAAAGGTTTCGTTTGCTCACTGTTTCAGAGTGTACAGTCCATGGTCAGCCTCAAGTTAGAAAGCAGAAATGCTTGGCAGAGGAAAACTGCTTAGTTCATGGTGGGTGAGAACACAGTAAGCACGGCACAGGAGGGGAAGAGGCCAGGAATCAAACAGTGCACAGTATCACATCCCCCTGACGACAAGTCTGACCTCTGCTGAGTCCCAGCCTTCCAATCCCCTGAGCTCTGAGGACAATCATAAGCCATTCCCACACCCTTTAGGTCCCTGCCTGCACAGAACAAGGTGCGCTGGCAAAATAACTCCCTAGCTGTTGCTATGACAGCAAATTGCCATGTAACTATTGCCACTCTCCTAAGCTTGCTTGACTGATTTTTCTTGGCTTGTCGGTAGAAAGGCCACTCAATATATTTAAAATATTTTCCTCTGAAAGCCATGCTGGGGAGGTCTCACTTAGAATTCCAAATTTGAGCTGATGCTATGTTCTTTACAAGGTTGTCAACATTTACCTAACAGCTATGACCCACCCTGACACACCAGAGGTGTGTTTTACTAATGCCCTGGTGAGCTCTCAGGCCACCTAAGTTGAAAATTAAGCTTACTGATCACTGAACTTTTAAAAAATGTTTTTCTAACTGATGAGGAATGTGTAATGACTTAGTGATATACTATTTCAAAACAAAACAAAAAGCAAATGTCTGTATATTCATGTAAAGGCACTGGGTTCAACCTTCAGGAACAGAGAGACAGAGAAAGAGAGAGAGAAAGAGAGAAAGGAAAGAGGAGAGGGGAAGAGGAGAGAGGGGAGAGAGGGAAAAAAGAGGGAGAGAGGAAAGGAGAGGAGAGGGAGCCATAGAGAGAGAGGGGAGAGATATATAGAGAGAGGGCACAGGAGAGAAGGGAGGGGAGGGGAAGAAAGAAGGGAGAGAAATTTTATCAAATTCTCAAGTTTCTCGTGGCCATATGGAACAGCAGTCTAGACAACCTCTGTTGGAGCTGTTGAAGCTGAATACATGTGCAGGGCTGTGGCATGGCTTGGGAATGGCTGAACTGAGAACAAGGAGATGCCTTAGGGGGCAAAATAGGCCACAGCTGAGGACACCTGGAGACTTTCTCCTGGGATAGTTCTCCTCAATTAGCATCTTCTGTTGCTTGGAGGGGCCCTTGAATGACTCCCAAGGTCCTGCTCAGGTTTCCTGCATTTTCCACTCTAACCCCTTCCTTATTTGAATAAATATAGGCCACCCAGAGACATCCTCTGTCTCAGCCACCGTATTCAGAACCCTGCAGAGGGTTTTGTCCTCCTGGAGCCTTGAAGATCATACCACTTGTCTCATTCATTAGAGCCTTTGCCATGCATTCATTTGGGAAATTGGGGATCTAGGCACAGACCCCAGCAACCCCAGGCTTTGAGTTTGATCTTCCCTTTTTATTTTCCAGCACTTTCTGTGAACCAGCACTTGTCCTTTGGGTGCACTCCATCAGTTCTTCCATGATGGAGTTGTGTTCCATCTTGTTTCCTTGCTAGAGTCTGAACTCACTAAGGGCAGGATCACGTCTAATTCATTTCCGCCTCCTCTTCAATCCGAATACTGTTTGTTAAATTAATTTGCAGGGTGAAAAGTTGGGAGGTAACATGGAAAGATTCCTTTTTAGAGATTGGACATTTTCTCTCTTTTTTGTCCCCATATAAGTTGTTACCTTGGTTCTATGTATGTACAACATGACACATATCACCTAATTCTTGGTTTATTGATCCCCAAATTAAAATTTAAAACAAAGAAAGTGAAAGGCCACAATTACCCTTTCATCTTGAGCTAGTGAAAGGATTTTTTACTTTAATTAAAGGGAACTCACTTTGCTTTGTTCAAGCTGTAGAAACATATGTTGTTTTGGTCTAGTGGCATTAGAAATGGAGGAAGCAAGGGGTGGTTGGTTCTATCTACGTCATCTACTGGTTAACAGGTGTTTGATTTTGCATTTCAAACAGAGGACTGGTCCTGTACCAACATTCAGGTGTCTTTTTCACTTTCTGGTGGTTGTGAAGAGCTTACAAGACCCACTCAGTGAATAAGATGTCATGGGCTCCTCCATGCCCTATCATCCATTTTGGAGCTTCTTGGAAGTCCAAGAGAAACCTCTCTCACTTCTGTTTTGTTCTGTTTTAACTGTGATTTCTTCATGATTTTGCTTTTTTACCAGACCAAGTCCTTTGAGATCCAGGATGATCTATTGCTTTACTGCTCACTGAGATTATTTGTGGCAGAAACTGCTAGGTGATCACCAAACCAACTTCTTTTTCTGCCTGGTATAATGTAGATCATATGCTGAGCCAAATTTGCAGGTCAGTGTGGTCATCTGACTGAGTTGTAGCCAATCTTTAGCATAAGTTCAAAGTACGTCTTCTAGGATTGGCTCCTAGAAATTTTCACTTCCTAATTTTCACAGGTTCAAATTCTCATAACACCACAGTAGCCTTGGAAACCACACGCTGAAGAAGGTGGAGGCACAGATGGAAAGAACCAGGTTCACTAAAGCACTGCAAAGAAGACACGCTGCTTCCACTGCTCCACTAACGATCTCTTACCACCACAAACTTAGACCACACTTTCACCACGTTACACCACTGAAAACCATTACTGCAGACAGCTGTCTCACTGGTGTAGATGCTCACCAGTGTTCATGTAGCAGAAGGCTTTAGTAACCCTCCAGTGGTCAACAGAGCAAATGGCAAGAATTTGAATTCCAGAGAAGACAGTGAAATTGGATTGAACAACTATTTGTTTCCCTTTAAACCATAGAAAGTGGGGGTTAGGAAACTTGTCTCTGCCAAACTGGAAGGTGAGGCACAGTTCTAATCCACTCCACCATGCCCACTAGGTCTTCCTTTAATAGGCATCATGGACTAGAGGTGGAGACATTCCCTCTGCTCCTAATCTATATAATCCCCATTGTATCCACAGATGAATTTTCAAAGGAAGAAAGAAAGAATAGGAAACAAACACACAAACAAAAATGTCCTTCCTCTTTCAGCCACTGAATCATCTTTTCCACAAAACCCTTGTCTTGAGCTGTCTTTTGCTTGTATTTTATTGTTTAATTCATTGTCTCATGCCTACTTCCATATAAATCACGAGTCGTCCTTAGTACATTTAGTTGACATCATGTTGTCCAAGACTGAACTGACGTTTTAGCAAGAAATCTGAGTAGATAGTAGATGGCTAAAAACAGAATGATGGGTCTTTAACTGAACTTTACTGAGACCAGAACTCTTTTTTCCAGACCTAAGGCCTTCTATAGATTTGATGGCAACATTGGTGGTAGCATGGATCTCTTCAGTATGGAAACCTCAGTAGCCTTCCTGACATGAAGAGCTGAGAATTGTGTATAGATCTTGTGGTATCCTCATCCAACTCATGATTTTTGCTGGGCACCACTTTGACTTTACTGTGTGCCCTGATAGACAGTATGCCTACCGAGGGCAACCAAAGGCAACATCGGCAAATGGAAAGAATCAAATACTGTCCTTTTAGAGATTTTACTCCAAGTAAATTTTTTACCATGGTCAAAATGGCAAATATTTCATTGAATGCAGTGGGCACAAATAGTAAAAAAATAACAAGTTTTTAACACAAACAATTTAACACTAGCATGACCTGGTTTCTTATTTTTCATGAGAATATCAAATTCAATGGTTATTAATAGATGTGAAGATTTGGCTTGTATCCTTAATAGCCTTTCTAGACCTTCCCTTCTCTATACTTCATTTATTTGAAACCTTTTGGCAAACTCTTAAGGGACATTGTAAAGGGAAAGTAAAACAAGTGAATTTATTATTATAGTTTACTTTTAAAAGTATCTCTTTTCTTGAATAGTGTTAACGATGATTACTTATCTCTTACTGAGTGTCACAGAGATTACAGTTGGCCTTTTATAAATATCATCTTATATCTTTCTCTCAACCTTATAATTATTATTGACATTTCATATAGTAGATACCTGAAACTCAGACTTTAAGTGATATTTTTATAAGGTTGTCAGACATGCAGGGATTAGAAATCTGGATTTTCTGATTCCAGAAGGATTCCTGATGCTCTGTCATGAGCCAGCCTCCCTTCCATCAGTTCTCGTTGCCAACCTTACTGTGGGCTCATTATTATTTTTTTTTCTACAGAGTTTTATGTAACATTCACTGGTTAATCCTTTTTTTCCTCAGGTTTTTAGTAGAGTCTTCCCTCCCATTCATTGGCTGAGACATTTATGGACAGCATGTGAACTTATTTATCTTTCTAGCTCAACAATTTTTTCCTACCCTTCCTTAAATTTGGAAGCACTCACATCTAGCTTAGTAAATAAACACAAGGAAGAAAAATACGCATCAAGCAGATAGATTAACAGACCAATCCTGAGGTCTGTTAAGCTGAGGAGAGGATTTCCTCTTTCCACTGTTGGTGTAATAAGTGAGGTTGTGTGCCAATAGATTTTACAAGCACTTGAGAACAGCAGTGACAAGCAGCGACTGAGTTCAAGGACACACGGGTGGTTTTAACATTTCCCTAAGGAGCTGGCCACCAGGTACCCTGACCAGACTGCTCTAAATGGAAGGGAACAGTCAGAAGGAGCACCGGGCTTTGCTTAACCAAGGAGAAGAGAATGAGCTGGTGAGTGTCCTCTTCTTTTCACTGGTTTTCCCAAGTCTGTGAACTGTGCTAAACACGTAGGTAGATGAGAGGACAGACTGCAGCTCTGCTGATGCTCTCCTGGGATGTGGAAAAGTTGAAGTCTGGTAGGGCTTTGTGAGGGTTGCAAGACACAATCATTCTGAGGGGGAGAGTCTAAGTGCTGAGGACACTGTGTCCTCTGAGTAGAGCTCTCGCCATCCCCATAGATGGCGGCCCAGGTGATGCTTCCTAGACAACTGCAGAGGCCGTCGGAGTGCATTGTCATATGGTGCTCCTCTGTGTGTATCTCCTTATTATCTAGGTCACAGTGTAATTGGACATAGAATTTCACCATGTAACTGGTGGCAGTGGAAATGCTTTCTTTGTCTAACTCTTCTGCTGTGCCTGCATAACCGGAGCTTAAGATGCTTTGGGCTGGGCTCATGCTTTTCAATAACACCAGGAGAAACTGAACACTGAGTACTAAAGAAATAAATGCATGGCCTGGAATTTTAGCACATATTAAAAAGAAATTCTCACATCTTTGATTCTTTTTTCCTGCTGACACTTCTTTCAAATGTTTATATATCTTAAAAAATAATCATTAAAAACAAAACTCTTACGGTGTCTATTTGGTGGTAAGGAGTTTGCATTTAGGATTTAATCCTCAGAACTTAGTAATGAAGGAGCTAATTGTATTTCATAGGAAGAAATCTGAGACCAGGGAGATTAAGTAACTTGCCATGGGTCATTAGTCTGCAAAGGACAGGCTGGGAATACAGCCACTCCTTGCCCCTTCACCTGCCAGGCTGCCCACACCGCAAGGCGGTTCCCAGTTAGGCAATGAGAAAAGGACACGGGAAGGGACAGTGGGTGGCTGGGGGGGTGAAGAGAGCTGAGAGGACTTGGCTCTTGTGTCTGTGTCCTGTCTGACCTCCCATTACCTGTGAGTGCTTCAGGAGATCCACACCTGCTCTCACCATCTAGCCTCTTCAGTTAATTTAAGCAAAACATGTAATACAATGCAGATTGCATCTGTAGCTGTGTGGTCCAGTAAGGCAGCCCCTGGCTGTCTGTGGTTTCTGAGAACTGGAAAACAGCAGGTCCAAATTGAAATCTGCTGTATGTGTAAGACACTTACCACATTTGATGAACTTTATGAAAAATGGAAACTATCCTATGACTGATTTTCATATGGGTTACATAATGAAATGCCGTTATTTTAGATAGACTGTATTGAATAGAATCAGCTGGGAAAATTAATTCTATCCACTTGTTTTTACTTCTTTAATGTTGCTGCTGGATTTAACATTACAAACGTGGCCCATATTTGTGCATTATTATGTCATGCAGAGCTCTGTGCTGGAACAGCGCTTACAATTTTCAAACTAAAGGGTTTTTTAAAAATCTATTTACCTGTGCTTACTGCTGAGTAAGCTGTGTATTTTGAACATGTAGATGAATATTCAGAAAAACCCTGTGTTGATCTTTCCTCTTTGCTAACGAGATGTGGTGCTGTGAGGCTCCGTTACTCTCCTGATCTCAGAGACAGAGCTGGCATCCCAGGTCCTTCCTTCTTTCCTTATTTTCTGTGAGTGACCAAGCGCTTCCAGAAACATCCACCAAAACACTCTGGGATCTCACCACACTGTCCTCCCACTCAGGGAACTCCGGGGCAGTGGAGCCGGCTGTGGATTTCTGTTTCACAAACCTTCCTCTTGCACCGAGAGTACAGAGGCAAATCCTACTGCACCTGATTAGGTGACCCGAAGGTCAGATGGGCCCGTGGGAACTCAGGTGGCCCCTGTGCACAGTGGAAAGTGTGACTCAGCTCCTGCAAGCCAGCAGCTCAGGGTGGTCAGATCTGCAGCATTTTGAAGAGAAGCCAGACATTCAGGCTTTCCAATGATGTAGTCCAACTGTGGATTTTAGAAATTAATTTTTAAAAACAATCAGTAGGTCAAAATAAACCTGGGCACAAACCTGGGCACGGCTCAGTTCCTGCTTGGCTGCTGGCAATCTGTGACTCTTGCAGCTCTTTGTTCCCCGAAGGTTCCCCTCTGCCCCACCTGACTTCTACTTGCATTCATCTTCCAAAGGAACAGTCACCTGGGATGCTGTGAGAGGGTCTCGGGTGAGAAGTAGACACTGTTGGAGCAAATAATAAATTCCTTCAATCAAACACCCAGGGGGAAGCTGAGCACACAGGAAGGCACGTGAATTATTCAAGCGCAGTCTCAGGTGGTTTTGCTGAGCTCAGCGATATAAAGCGTTGTATTCGTTTCTACAGTGGACTCTAGCAACATTCCTGCCTCCTGTTCACAGGACCTGATTCCTGGGGGGAGAGGGGTGGGCAGCTAAAGTTCCAGTCCTGGACACATGAAGTGTTTCACTCTACCTGCGGGACAGCCTCAGCGGTACAGACCTCAATTTTCTTCCCAACCTACCCAACCCAAGCCCACCTTCCCCACTATGGTCTAGCTCTGAGGGTGTCCTTTCCCTTTGGTTTTTGTTTTATGTTGTTTTCTGTACTAGGGGTTGAACCTAGGGTTTTTGCTTCAAGGCACATGTCCACCCCACTGTTTAATTTTTTATTTTGTGATGAGGTTTTGCAAAATTGCTCGGGTGGGATGGAAACTTGCAGCCTTCCTGCCTCAGCCTTGTAGAGCTCTGGAATTCAAGTGCATGCACAATGTCTGGTTGACTCCTTTTCTTTTTTCTTTTCCTGAAAGCTTGCCCCTCTCGCGGACAACTTTTCTCATCTTCTCTTGAGCTTCCCGGAAGGCAGGCAACCCCAGGACACTTCAGAGCACAGGTCCTGGAGCCAACAGCCCGGATGGGTGCGAAATGACTGTGGTCAAGGGCTGACTGGGCCGCTGTCCAGATCAGTGTGGCCAGTTCTTCTGCTTGCATTCGTGGGCATGTGTGACAGTCAGACCCAGTATTATCTGACATTGTGGTGAGAATTAAATGAATAGACATATATTTTCCAAAAATATCTTCTATGCAACAGAATTGTCAAGAGATTTTCTGGAAAGATCTTCTTTGGTTTTCTAAAAGTCTTCATTTTTTTTCCTTGTCACTTAGGTTTGAGAAATATAACGGGGAAAAGGTAGGCAGGAACCACAGGGCTGCTCAGGGTCTCAGACACATCACAGTTCTCTGTAGGATCTGCACTTCCCACATTTACGGGCCTATGGACTCTTTCCTGTATATGTGTATGCATGTACGTGCCCATGTGTGCGTGTGTGTGTTCATGTGTGCCTGTGTGTGTGGGTGCATGCGTGCCTGTGTGTGTGGAGGTATGCACAGATTCTCTCCTGTTCCAACAAATTTCATAGCAAAGGATCAGATGTTTCCCACCAGTGCTTCTCGGGAGAAGAGGTCTTCTGTCTCTTCTCATTTGGGTACGCCTGGAGGTACACTGTGTCGGACAGCCTCTGCTCCAGGTTCCTCCCTGGTGACATGTACTCACAGCAATCCTTTTCTGCAGAAGGTCCTCACGCTGGCCCCACTGATCGAAAGGGCTGCCTCTACCCTCATCAGCTGTCTGGCTCAACCATTGTGTCCGCATTCCTGACCTACATAGACAACCACTGCCTAGATGTGAAAATGCCAAGTAGGAGCTGCCCTAGAAGGAATAATGTCTGCTCCATGTAGACAACAGAGAACTGATGGGAGCGCATCTGGCCTCACGTTCATTTTCTTCCGCAAAACTGTGGAGGAGCTCGGAACTCTGGGACAGCAGACGTGGGGCTGAGCGGAGCCTGCTGCCAGCCACATAGTGGTGGGAACCTCTTTGGACCTTGCTGCTTACCTGAAAATAAAGCCAGCCGCCCTCCTGACTCACAAGTTTTGGGAAGGACATGTACAAAATATAGAAAGTGCTATAAAAAGGGGTTCATTTGCTTTGCATTTATGAGGTGCAAATTGAAAAATGCAGGCGTATGTATATTAGGTAAATGTGATATTAAGTATATTTCCCATTTCTCTGATTAAAACTTGCAGAATGATAATTGCTGGGATTCTTTCATTTCAAAGTGAAATAGTATGCGAAGGGTTGATTTGAAAAATAAGAAAATTTGAGTGCTTAGATTAAATCGCATGCTGCCATGTGTTCCTTATCCTCCATTAAAAGACATTTCCTCTGTTTACCCCCCAAACACTCAGGGATTGATATGAAAAGGTGAAAATTGAAAGTAAACAGCCAGCCCTCTTGGCTGTCTCCTGTCAACCTTTATATTAACAACCTGGATGAAGGCAAGCTTGTCAATCTTCAATTGACACCTAGCTGTGAGACAGAGATAACTGTACAGTTGACAGAATTAATATTTAACAATTTTTCTCAGCTGGATTTTGGGAGAGAAACTGTCAGCATGCGATACAATGAGCTCCTCTATTGAGAAGTTGTTTTACATTATTATTAAGGTACAGGGTGAGAGTATAAGTGACTTGGGCTTGGGATCTGTGCATGATATAGTGATTGAAGTGTTTGGCTTGATTATGATTAAATTTTAGTTGTTGCTCCAAATGATTAGTCTGGTTTTGGTCTTTTTTTTTTTTGTCTTTTTGAGACAGCGTCTCACTATGTATTTCAGGCTGCCTTGACCACACTTTGTAGCCTAGGCTGGCCTCAAACTTGCAACAATCCTCCGGCCTCAGCCTCCGGAGTGCTGGGATTATAGGAGTGCGCCACCACACCTTGAATGTCTTGATAGAAGTATTTTTTACCAGAAGCAATGAAAATAGTTCTCATCTGATTTGTACTCTTAGGGAAACCTCTAGAATATTATATTTAGTGCTAGAATTAGTGTGTGTGAAGGGGTACCTCTTTATCACAAATTGAAACTTCAGGATTTAAAAGAAACTGGCAGCAGTTCCCCAAACAGCAGTTATGGTGGTTTTCTTCCAGTCGTGGAGTCGATGCTGCAGAGAACGAAATAGAGGTTGGCAGACTCCATGCTGGTTTAATCTAACTTCTGTGGTGCAAGAATCTCGGG